AACTTTAAACCGCATAAACATTTCATTACACCAAATACACAAAATAATGTTCTTTTTAGCAGCATCATATGACCCCTTTAAAACTCGCTTCTGTAACACTGATGCAACCGAAACCTTACACGAGCTTTAATGTTGATATATGTTCTTGAAAAGATGCTTCAAAACGCAATCTTTCTTTGTGCATGGTAGGCCCTTGAATCATCTTCTTATGTCTTTCATACCTTATCTGTGCGTAAGTCGTAAGAAGCGTTCATTTCCTCTACAAGTTTCTCCGCAGCCTCAACTTCCAAAGTGAGGATAAGGGTGGACATTTTTTCTCAGGCCCTGTGCAGTTCAACTGATTTCTTCTTCTTAGTCTTCTTTTTTTTTTTTTTGCGGAGGGACTTTTATCTGGCTCTGTAGCCCCGAGCCAGAACTTTCATTTTCATGTGAAGCACACTTGAAAGAAGTGCAGGAGTAAGTGAATACTCAAGGCTGCATGTATTGAATTTAAAAAAAATCTACAAGCACTCCAACAGATAAAACATTTCGTTGGCTTTTTGCGGCGGCGGGAATGACAGCGACAGCGGCCGCCCAGAGACTACTCACGGTGAGGGATCTCTGACAGTAGACGAGATTGTGTGCATTGGGTTTGTAATGAAAGAGCCGGGCGGCTTCAGTGTGGGCTGTCAGTGGGGGAGCCTATTCTCATTTGACTCCGCATCAAACCCCTGTAAACAGCCCAGGGGATGTCTCGCTCCTTCTCATCCTGGGTGGATGGTCTGGAGTGAGAAACGTCTGAGGGTAATGCAAGCGTGAAGTTGTTGATAGCACTGTTACTGAGATTGCACATTTTAAATGCGTCTTGATGCAACTATGTGAAGTGCTGATAGAGTGGCATAAATAGGAGTTTACTTCCAAAAAACTCATACCGAGTTTCTCATATCCAACGGAGAACTTGAACGTGAAATTTTTGCTAGGTCCTATAGAGACTGTTGCAGGAGTCGTCTAAATGCAGTTATCTGAAGTGCTGATGGAGTAGCATGAATGGGAGTTTATTTTATGGAAACTAAAATCTCTGAATAAAACTCCACTGGTTTCTATTAGGTCCTGGAGAAATGGTGCCAGAAAGGGTTGCCATCTTGATGCAATTATGTGAAGCATAAATTGTTTACTCCAAAAACTCATACTGAGTTTCTCAAATTGAACAAAGAACTTCTCAAGATACTAACAGAGAAGCTCCGGAAAGTTTCAACATATCATTTGTCTTGATGCAACTATATGAAGCACTGATAGAGAGGCATAAATAGAGTTTGCTTTGAAAAACTTCATCTCAGAAGATTGATAATTCTCCCTGGTTTCTTCTAGGTCCTGTAGAGACTGTTGCAGATGGGTTCGGTCTGGTGCCGTCTTGATACATTTATGCGAAGTGCAGATACCTTTGCATGAATAGGAGAATACTTTGTTAAATTTATGGAAAACATCTCAAAACACTAAAAAACTCCACTGGTTTCTCTTAGGTCCTGGAGAGACAGTTCCAGAATGGGTTGCTATCTTGATGCAATTATGCAAAGAGTAGCATAAATTATTTACTCCAAAACTCTAAAGTTTCTCAGATTTAACAAAAAACTTCTCTAAATAATAAAAATGCCCCTGGTTTTTCCCCCGAGTCCTGGAGCAACAGTTCCAGAAAGTTTCAAAATGGAATTTGTCTTGATGCAACTATGAAGCTCTTATAGAGTGGCAAATTTCCCATATTCAATGGAGCTGAAAAAACTGAGAAAAATTCCCTTGGTTTCTCTTAGGTCCTAGAGAGACTGTTGCAGAAGGTTGCGTCTTGATACAATTATGTGAAGCGCTGATACGAGGAGCACAGGAGTTTATTTTATGGAAAGCATAATCTCAAAGTACAAAAAAAACACTGGTTCCAAATGGAATTTGTCTTGATGCAACTATGAAGCTCTTATAGAGTGGCAAATTTCCCATATTCAATGGAGCTGAAAAAACTGAGAAAAATTCCCTTGGTTTCTCTTAGGTCCTAGAGAGACTGTTGCAGAAGGTTGCGTCTTGATACAATTATGTGAAGCGCTGATACGAGAGGAGCACAGGAGTTTATTTTATGGAAAGCATAATCTCAAAGTACAAAAAAAACACTGGTTCAAATCTAGGTCCTGTAGAGACGGATTGCAAATGGTTTCAGCCATCTTGATACATTTATGTGAAGTGATGATACCATTCATTTATTTTATGGGAAAACGTCATCTCAAAATCCTACAAAATACCACTGGTTTAGTTTGGATCCTGAAGGGACCTTTTCTAAAAGGGTTCAGCATTGCATCAATGATTTGTTTATAGAAGAGCATACATTTTCAAAACTCACTGTCCCTGGTTTTTCCTTGGTCCTGTAGGGTTCGGTATGGTGGTGTCTTGTCGCATTTAGGTGTAGTACTGATACAGAGGTTCTCATATTGTGTGGAAAACTTCTCAAAATACTCAAAAATGGCTCTGTAGTCTCCTAGTGGTCTATAAATTCAACTATATGAAGTACAGAGTTTCTCATATTATAACAATATACTAATAATGTCCCTGGTTTCTCCTAGGTTCTGGAGAGACTGTTCCAAAAAGGCTTCAGCATGGTGGCCTCGTGCGGCGGGGGTGTGGACTCCTCCCAGTTCAGTGAATACATCCTGAGTCGGGAAGACAGACGGTGTCAGACCAGCCACACGCCCATCAGGATAAAACAGGAGCCTCTGGACTAGCCAGCTCTTGTGCCAACCATGAACACCGGAGTCTGCTTTTGAAAGAAAAACAAATGCCAGCGGACAAATAGAAGACTTAATTTGCAAGGAGAGTTTGCTTCAACTCTTTGGACTTGGACTGAAATCTTAGTAAATGTATTTCATCAACGACCCCAAATCTGCTCCAAAAAATGCTTTACAAACCCAAGCGAGCCACAGGATGGCTTTTCATCTGCTGACCTCCAGTTGAACTTTTTAGCCGCTTCTTTGGCTCGAGTCATGAAAAAAAACATTCATAGATCTATATTTCCACAGTACATATCCATATAAGTTTGCCATTGTATGTGCATAAAAGAGTGAAAAGAGGAACTCTACAAGGAAGTTGCGTTCATGGCGAGCACACCTTCTGGCTAGAACACTTTCAAATGATGCAGCAGTCTGATCTCCAAGCTCCCAGGCGAAATTAACCACAAAATACAAAGTCTGTCCTCTGATCCATTTTTAATCTAGATATCTAATGTTCTCATTTTCCAGTCTCATCTATGTAAATCAGTTCTTTTATGACCTACAGGTTTATTGCTGTTGTCTCACTACATGAAGGATACGAGAGCAGTTCTCAGAAGTCATTTGGTTGTAAGTGCGTTCTGGATTCGGCCGCATAGACGCTTTGACTTGAGGCTACGTGGCGGCTAAAGCAGACGGTCTGGTAATGCATTAAGCGCTGGGCACAGAGGCTTTTTGTTTGAGCATGTCTAAAGGGAAACCTGGACTTCATGTGGGAGAGCTTTTCTGATGGCATCGCTAAATCCTCTACTTTTTTTACTTGGGTGCCCGTTTTCTTCAAAACTAGCCCTGAACTAGTCGCTAGTTCATTATACATAATTGCTCTGAGTAAACGGTTAAAAAGTAAAGATTTTTTGTAGATACAGTGTCCAAAACAACATCTTGTTTAATGAAGGCACCTTTTGAAAAAATGAGATTAGTCAGATTGTTAATGAATGCAGCACTTTCAGGGGGCGATACTCGGACCGTTTGAGAAGAGGGGAATTACTGTGCCCCTCAAGGCCTGGAGACGGAGGGGCTACGGGTCAGACTTCTCTCCAGGAGTTAAGGTCACTTTCCCACAATCCCTTTCACTCACTCTCCCTTAGCAAAACAGAGCCACTCAGAGAGAGACTGAGGGAGAATAAATTTGAAAGGTTAACTTGGTGGCTGGTAAACAGACTGAATTGCATAATATGTTGTAAAAAGGCACATTTAATAGGAGTTCTTTGCCTCGCAATTTCAAACGGAAGGGTCACTGAAATGTCACATGTTGTTATGCTAAGTGTTGTCTTAACTGGCCAGCGTTTCTTTTCAGATTTTCTTGATTTGTTGTACATAATGGCTCACGGACGCTTTGCAGGCCCCCCTGAATGCAACTTATCATCTCGCTGCTGCGCAACTGCCATTTGGTTTTCGATTTCAAGGACGAGAACATTAAAAAGACGATTATCGGAGAAGCTGCGTCGGACGTTACATAAATCTTAATTTAAATACTGCTCTAATGGATGTTGTGTCAAGATGTATATTGCAGTATGGTCCAAATGTATATTATTTAAATAAAACATTTTTTTGTAATGGATTACTATTGATATGAATCATAGTGGTATGTCAGGCATGTGTTTATTTGAATTGTAACATTCTTTTTGTAATCGGTGTTGACAAACAAACTTTTAATAAATTGGTGGAGTTCTTTCCCTATTTTAAACCACTGGCAGCATGCATGTGAATGTGTCGGAAAAACTTGATATACAAATGACAATGAACAGTCAGGGGGTAGTCAAAAACCTCACTATGAAATGGAAGATCTTTTAGTATTGTGATATACATTTGAGTGAATCTTCAGAAGAGAAAACAAGTATTGAGGGGACTTGGTTCTATCAGTTAGTTGTTGATTGGAGTCTATTGTAAGAAAGGGGCGGAGTTTCAGCAGACTAAATGATTGGAGAAGTATGGCACATATCAGCAGCGAGAAGTCTGTTGATTAAAATTTCGTTCACCCAAAAGTGAATATTCTGTCATTAATTACTCAGCCTTATGTCGTTCCAAACCCGTAAGACCTTTGTTCATCTTCAGAACACAAATTAAGATATTTCTGATGAGTCAGAAAGCTCTTGGATTTCATAAAAAAAGATCTTAATTTGTGTTCCGAAGATAAACGAAGGTCTTGTGGGTTTGGAATGACATGAGGGTGGGTAATTAATGACAGAATTTTCATTTTGGGGGGAACTATCCGTTTAAACATATGATTGACATTTTGATTAAAAATGCCAAATTTTTGAATGACACATGGATGAATAGTTCCCAATAAGATCAATAACAGCATTAATTTTCTGAACAAAATATTCAACTACAAAAAAAAGTAGGGCAAGACTTGACGTTTTTAATCAGAAATGGACTGAATCATGAAATGTGGGCGGTAAACACCAGAATACAGCCTCACCTGATTGAGTTTTCACTCAGCTGTGAACAGGAAAAAAATGTCCCAGAAATCAGGCCACATTTATTTGATCCTTTACTTTCTGGTTATGTTGTTGACAAGTTTGACACATTAAATGTAAAACAACATTAAAGAAAGTCTTGGCAGAATTATAATTAGGAACTTTATTCTTTTACAAAAGTACAAATTTAATAGAGATGAGCACTTTTTTCCAAACCAACCAAACATTCAAAAATTGTTAAATTTAGCAAAAATAGAAATTCTAATAGATATGTTTTTTAGACAAAAGACAATCCCTTGATCATCAATACTGTTTGTCTAAACTCCAGCACAAACAATACGAATTAAAACCAATCTGAGAGATGGAAAAAGATTTTGCCTCAGATCTCAAAGGAAACATTGCACACGACATGAACGCTGACTGTCTCCCAACATACATCTGTACAGCTCCAAAATGTCAACGTTGAACACGTCATTTCTTCTACTGCATGTCATAAAGGGCAATATACAAATATTCAGTACTTGACATAAAATAATGCCCAATGACAGATACCAAATTTATAATGAACTTGATTTCAATCACAGAAGTACATGATCCAAAATGCGACATTAGTATTTTAAAATCATTACTGCAGTCTGTCAAAGCCACCTCATTTTGAACGTATTTAAAAAAAATAGTCAAATGAACAATATGAACAACCTGCCATTTCTCCACAAATAAGTTACGAGAGATCCTGCTCTAGAATTGTTGGTGAAGCGATGCATATTAGTATTAGCATATTAGATAATTCCATGCCGTGGATTTGATTAAAAACAATGGTGCCCCAGGAGGGCCACGTAAGGCACCATTTCACAGTATACTTAATTCAGACACTAGTGAAACCGTACACACCTATAACCCCACACTGAGTGTGCGAGACAAAACTGTCACTGAATTTCAAAAGACCATCCAATAGGATGAAAGACAGTCAGTGTTTTACAACACAGAGTTTCTTCATTTTGCATAAATCAGTAACAAAAGAACCCCAAAACATCCACACGGATCCTCAGAGACTTATAGATGCGCTACTTATAAGTTACTAAAATACTCCAGACTCGTTAGACCTCTAAAACCAGGAACTTTGCATTCACATTTCCAGTGTCTCTATTGCAAATGAGGCTTTCGGTTAAAAACAAGTCCAGCTGCTATTTATATAAAACAAACCTCAATCTCTATCCTGAAACGTAAAACCAGTCCGAGTTCAAGTTAATGAATAAAAAGATAAACATTGCTCAAAACGATGGCTCATTAATCCAAAACAAAGGGGACATAAAACCATAAAAGGGTGACCCAAAAGGGGGAAAAAAAGAAATCACATGGTGTCCACAGCCGCCGCCGGTTTTTCCAGAACCTTCTCATCTCCAGAATGCCTACGTTTGGAAGATTTACAGCAACGTGCTCGTTATGACACAAAGAGTACATGCTATAGGTGAGTCTGAAGGCACAGACCGGAGATGAATGCAGAGAAGGAGAGGAAGACTTGAACATATTACTGAGAGTCAAGCAGGTGGAGTACCATTAGCGTGGATGATCTCATCCATCTCACTGGATCAGTGCTACTTCAGAAGGGCCTTGTAGAGCAGCATGGACCTGGCTGTGGTTCGCTCCTGCTCCAAGCAGAAGATCAAGTCCCTGAGGTTGACCCGGGTAATGCGCTGCCGGGTCTGCCGGACTGAGGATGTGGAGGATGAGGTAGAAACGGTCGCTGACCCGGAGGAGCCCACAGGAAACTGAAAGGGAATAAGGAAAGAATTGATTAGGTCATTGTCCACTCATTTTTGATGCATATATATATCTATATCTATATGTATATATACACACACGCACATACATATATAAAACTCTCAAACATTGGATTAATTCACATTATTTTGTGCTTGTGTTTAACTTAAAACAGTAAAAAGAAAGAAAGAAAAAAATTATTTTCAAATAATATATTATGCCAGACTGGTTATAATTATAATAATAATAATAATTAGTTACATTTATATAGCGCTTTTCTGGGTACTCAAAGCACTTTACATGAAAACGGGGGAATCTCCCCAACCACCACCAGTGTGCAGAATCCACCTGGACGATGCGACGGCAGCCATATTGCGCCAGAACACCCACCACACACCAGCTTATTGGTGGGGAGGAGACAGAGTGCCAATCATTATATATGGGGATGATTAGGAAGCCATGATGATCAGAGGCCAATGGGCAAATTTGGCCAGGATGCCGGGGTTATACCCCTACTCTTTTTCGAAGGACATCCAGGGATTTTTAATGACCACAGAGAGTCAGGACCTCGGTTTAACGTCTCATCCGAAGGACGGTGCTCTTTACAGTATAGTGTCCCCATCACTATACTGCGGTGTTAGGACCCACACAGACCATATGGCCTCACTAACACCTCTTCCAACAGCAACCTAGTTTTCCCAGTTTTTTTTATTATTCAATTTAAAACAGTAGAAAATTATGGAAGCCCGTTTCCGCCACTGAATAATAATTTAAAAAATCAGACTTTTTTTCCTCGCAATTGCGAGGTCCCATCTCGCAATTCTGACTTTTTATCTCGAGTTAACTGAACTTTATAACTCGCAATTGCGAGTTTATATAATGCAATTCTGAGAAAAAAAGTCAGAATTCCCAGTTTATCTCTCACAATTCTGACTTTATTATCCACAATTACGAGTTTATGTCTCACAATTGTAATAAAGTCAGAATTGTGAGAAAATTTTGCAATTACCTTTTTTTTTAATTCAGTGGTGTAAACAGGCTTCCATAGGAAATAAATTCAATAAAATAAAAACATATCTAACTTTAATTCTCAAAGATTCAATCAGGTGTTTTGTGTTAAATTTAAAATTGTAACGATTTATTATCATTATCATTATTTTCAAACTTAGAATTAGGTCAGATTTTTTTGTGTAAATTTACAATAGTAAAAAGGCTAATTTTTTGACAAAAATTTGATTGGTTAACATGGTTTTAGCTTTATTTAAAAGTCAAAAATTAAAATCACCCAAAATTAAAGTCTTTGTGCTACTTAAATCTGAGAAAAACTAGCCCAGCCTTGCTTTGATTCCATAATGCGAGCATTTTTGCAATAAAGACCTAGCAGTCTTCAAAGATCCACTGGTTTTTGTGCTTTTGTGTGTTTGTCAGCACACCTGCACAACATGTGATCATCTGTTCTCAGCTGGAGGCTAGAGAACCACACCTCACGCCCCGGGCAGCAGACTTTTGATCTCAACCACAGTATCTCAAAGCGCTTCACCTTCAGACTGCACTCAACAAATGAGTGCGCAAGAGTGAGATCAAACCGAAAGTCTTATGAAAAATAATTAAATCATTAAAATAAAATCTACGCTTAGTCAACACAACGAAACGGAGGGCTTGCGACCAGCCGTCGCCACATTAAGATTATTTACACAGTCCACCTCGAGGGAAAAGCCCTTCCATCTAACTTCCAGGAGGAGGGAGGAAGATGGCATGTGTATTGTATTCATCAGCCGTACAGGGGGTCTATAGCGTGACATCAGTCGGCTGGAATGAGGTTAGGGTCTCCAGCCTTCACTGAATACTAAGTAAACGTGAGAAGGTGTAAGACAGCCTCTGGGCACAACACACACACCACACCCTACAGAAACAACCTGCAGCATTGTGGGATCTATATCACCCTCATACATGCTCTTACACACCCTGAATGATTCCCACTCTCACACACACCCAGGGCTGGCAAAGCTCACGACATGTTTACGCGGGCAGGTCGGTGCGCGGTCTTGTACGTTGTTAATGTTAGGTCATTATTTGAAAATTGTCAGGAGCACTTCAAGGAAAGAATGAAATACAAAACTGAAATTAGAGATTAATGCCAAAATTTTCACTCATAGCCACACCCAGAAGAGACCGTTCCAGGAAGTTTAGTACAAGCGATCAAGTGATAGTAAGCCTCTGGTTACATTTTGCACACACTTAAATAAACCTGAAATCAATGCAGAGCACTGGATGCCGTATGTGTGTGCGGAGACAACAACATAAGCTAGTGATTTCACATCCGATGCAATGCCACGCAATAGTCAACAAACACTTCTTAAAAACAGACCCCGCTGCATTTAGTGATTTCAAATAAATGGGTCAATGACATGATGCACATAATTTGGATATTACAATTTCGTCAAAATGTAATTAATATATGCAATGATTTTAATACACCTCATCTACAATGAACATGTTTTTCCATTCTTAATTAAAATTCAATTGATATTTTTGGTCATAAAACTATTAAAAAAAAAAAAAAATTTTTAAATTAGATTAAAGTTAGTTGCCATGGAAACATTTCTCATTTTTGTTTTTAAGTACTAAAATGACTAAAACTGAAATAAATCCAAATACATACACAAAAACTAAGAATAAAAAAATAAATTAAATTAAATTAAAAAAAATCTTAAAACTAAAATAAACTGAAGTTTAAAAATAAAAGCTAATATTTGATAATTTGATCTTTTTATGAAAAGGCAAGTTTAAATCAGATTGTAAAATGTTGTGATGTGACTCCCCAAAATTTATAAATGAATAATTCATAACATTTACAAAACATACTTTTTATCTTTAAAAAAACTTAAATGAAAAAATAAATAAGATGTATAATTGTGTACATTCACATGTACTTTTTACATGACGGTTACACCACATGACATTATGAATCAATAAATTGAAACTAATGAATACAGAATACATTTCTAAGTTTTTTTTATTTTATTTTTTTATCATGTACACTTATCACTGTCCCATAATAAAATAACAAAGCAAAACAGACATTATCAGTAAATTAATTCATTTTCTAAAATAAAAATCCAATATATAACCACCTAAACTCTAGCCTTTAGTAAGAGACAGTTGTACTTGCTCAACTCAGGGATTGCAGTACAGGAAGACAGCGTTTCACAGTTAGCATGTGTGGGTGAACACGCTCGGGGCATTTTGCCACTATCCTAGTGGTGCGTTAGAGATGGAGCTTGTTAAGCCTGCATAAATGTGTAAAGATATGGATGAATATATTACTGATGTGAGCATTAACGTGCCCCAGGCGCTGAGAGAAATGTATTTTTTTAAACCACATTAGCTGTGGAGTGGAATGTGTAGGGTGCACAAGCTATCTTTTCGAGTGTCATTAGGGTTAAAGTGTGTTGTATACCCTTGAGTTGTGTTTGCGTGTATTCACTGTGTGCAGGACAGCAAACACCTCCAGAGGAACTGACTCCAAACCCTGAAGAGACGAGGCAGCTTACACTTGTAGGTTTCTGAAAGCCATGAATTGAGCAGAACGGCATGAAACGTATCCTTCAACCAGACGTAAAGGTCTAAAAATCTTCAAAACAAGCACAAGCAGCGTTGCTCCAAAGCTACCCTAGAATTGGGAAGCCCTTCAACTCAAAGTGACCAAACCACCACAGAGAAAACCCTCTCCAGACAAAATAAGAGGGAAAAAAACCTTATTACTCCACCTTATTCCTCCAAACGACTGTGAGCACTTCTGGCCTCTAAAGGTTAGAGAGTGCCTGAGGGTGCTGTGCGTCTCCAGCGTTTGGGGAAATGACTTGCCTTGCCTCTGCACGAACACAGCCCAGTCTCTGCAGAACTGCCACCCGGGGCTACGCAACCCTGCTCTACTTCACTTTAACCCTATACTAGCCAGCTTTTTGATGCCGGCCTTTTACTTTGATCCAGGACCATCTAATCTTGTGCAATTATAAAACTATGAGAGACATGGCTGGGTTTCAAAACAGGCCACTTCAACCACAACGTCTTCATGGTTTTCTCATTCAAGAAGATCCAGAGTTAGGGTCGCATACACTGTTAAAAAATAAAATTCTTTATTGGCATCGATGGTTCCATGAAGAACCTTTAACATATATGGAACCTTTCAATGGTTCTTTAAAGTGAATAAAGGTTCTTTAGATAATTAACATGCTCTTTACACAAAGAAAAAAACTGTTCTTTTAAGAACTGTTCACTGAAAGATTCTTTGGGGAACCCAAAATAGTTCTTATATGCTATTGCTGCAAAAAGTGTAAGATGGTGCTACGAAAGCTACTGTCTAAAAGGACAGCACAAGAGTATAAGGCTCTGGTAATTTTTCCAGCCCATTTAAGACACAATCCCAGTTTGTGGTTTGGTATGTATCAACCATGGATTAAATCTGTAAACTAGTTGACACTACACAATTAAAAAGTCTTGCTTTGGGGAAGGGGATTTTCTAATTAGAGAAATAGTGGCAAAGCTGCAGTTCCTTTGCCTCCAGTAAAGTTGAGGAGCTGAGGGGCAGAGCTGGGATAAAATCCAGGCCTGTGGCCCCAACCAAAACACAAGGCTTTGTGGTGTTCCATCATTACCTCACCACATAATTAACTACAGACAAAACAAAATGTAGCATAATGTATGCATGCTAGCCCAACTGGTGAAGATACTACCACAAACCCTTAATCAACCCTGAACCCAAAACACCAACAAATACTTTTCAGATGGGTTGTTTTCTTCAACCTTCAGTAAAAGAATCAAATTGATAGCTTCAAACACTGATGAATCTAAAAAGCAGATAAAACTAGATGCTGTGAAGACAACTGATATTCTGGACCTTTCTTGGGTATTTTAAATGGTTTAACCATGTTGCTACGCAGTTTCTAGGGTGTTCTCGATCCAAATAACCATAGAAATACCTTAGAAACTACATAAATAAATGCTA